GATTGCCGACCTCCGTCGCGTATTTACTATCAAGTAAATTAATAAGGATAACGGCAAACTTCGCACCAAAATAGATGAAAAACGTATTAAAAGATAGATGGCACCTTTAAATATATATTTCTGACTGATTAATCTTCATCAATCAGTGCAGTCAAGTTGACCAATATACAAGTAACCACCTTTCACCACTCAGTGCCTTTCGGCGTTAATACAATTCAAAGCTGGACTAAGTGTAAGCTGTGTTGAGTATGTGAATTGTAATCTGTAATGAAATTTGAAACAAAGGAAAATGATCAAATGACTTAAAAACCAGAAACATTAGACCCGGAAGAACAGTGAAAAAGAATAAAAGAAGCGGCTTGAAACAGGAATAAAGCATCTTTAATGAAAATTAATAGAAATCACAAGACAAAAGAATGGTATGATGAGGAATGCCAATAAATAGTCACGGTGCTGTTCCTGCTCACCTGGCTATATTAAAAATTATAGAATCAGGAAAGTGCTCATGCGATAATATTACCCAGTGTGATGTTAATCACATCCTGTTTGGATGTATTAAAAATAAAGCACTCTCATCTACATTTTATGAAAACTTGGTTAAGTAATGTGCAATTTCCAATAATAAACATAATTCACCTACTGTCACTAAATCAGAAATCTATATAAATATAATACAAAATATAAATTTGTTAGAATCAAGTTTCAATTCATAAACATAAATCATTCAAAAATCTGTGGCAAATGGACTAGTTTCCATGCCAAACACGAATTTTGTAGTTAGTTACCTATTCGTTCCGAATGTCGACAATCATGGAAATCTTTATCTTATCTGCAGTAGCGCGGAAAAGCTGCACAGATGTTGTATTGAACCAGATTCTGAGGTTCTTTAACCAAGATGTTCTTCTTCTTCCTGGACCTCGCTTTCCAAATATTTTTCCTTGCAGGATGGCTTGAAGGAGAGCATCATCATCATCCAGCCGAATTTTCACATCCATTGTTGGATATAGGCCTCCTCCAAACGTCTCCAGTTCTCTCTATCTCTAGCTGCTGCAATCCAGTTTGTTTCTATTCTCCTTAGGTCGTCGGTCCAACTTGTGGGTGGTCTGCCTCGACTTCGCTTGTCGGCTATTGGTCTCCACTCCAATAATTGATCTCTCCATTCGCCTTTGTGTTACCCTCAGTTTTTCGGCAGTAGCTTTTGTTAAAGTTAAGGTCTCTGCTCCGTAGGTCAAGACTGGTAAGATGCATTGGTTAAATGCCTTCCTTTTCAGGTGAATTGGGATATTTGTTTTAAAAATGTCTCTCATCCGTCCATATGCCGCCCATCCCAACATGATTCGTCTATTTAGCTCGCAGGTTTGGTTGTCTCTGGTTATTCTAATTTCATGACCCAAGTATGTGTATTTATCGATTAATTCTACCTTGTTGTTATTGATCTGTATCTCTTCGCTGGGAACCATATTGGTCATAATTTTGGTTTTCTCGAAATTTATCTCCAGCCCAGTTTCTTGTAGTATGTCATTCAGTTCTTGGAGCATGTCTTTGATCTCTCCCAGATTATCTGACAGAAGCACGATATCGTCCGCAAAACGTAGATGGTTTAATCTCTCTCCATCGATGGATATTCCTTTCTGTTGCCATGTTAGTTTTTTAAATGCATACTCAAGAACGGTAATGAACAGCTTTGGTGACATGGTATCACCTTGCCTGACTCCCCTTTTTATCTTTATTTTATTAGTTGCAGAATATAGACTTATGGTTGTTGTGGCATTTTTATATATATTTTTAATTATATTACAATATCTGTGGTCGATCCTGCAATCTTGTAGTGCTCTTAAGATGGACGGTAGTTCCACTGTATCAAACGCCTTTTTAAAGTCTACAAATATCAATGCCAAGGGACGGTTATATTGGTTAGTTTTTTCTATTAGGGTTTTTAGGCACTGCAGGTGATCGTTTGTGCCGTAATTAGGGCGGAAACCAGCTTGTTCCCGAGGTTGGTAAAAATCCAGCTTTGTCTCTAATCTATTGGTTATTATTCGGGTGTATAATTTATAAAGATGGTTAAGGAGACTGATTGGTCTGTATCTTTCCAGGTCTGCTATATCTCCCTTCTTGTGTAAGAGTATAGTTATTGAATTATTCCACTTTGTTGGGATATTTTGATTCCATAGGCATAGATTAAAGAGCTTTTGAATTTTGGCTATGAGTACTGAGCCTCCTATCTTTATCGCTTCCGTGACGACACCGTCCTCCCCCGGAGCTTTGTTATTCTTCATCTTTTTTAGGGCCTTGTAAATTTCGTTCAAGGAGATTTCTGGAATATCTTCGGAACCCTGATTTTGAACCTTCCTCTGTTGATATTCGACTATATCTAGAGTCGATTGGTTGCTATATTATGTCTTATAGAATGATTCCACAATTTGTAACAAATGTTCTCTGTTTGATGTGATGTTGCCATTTCTATCCTTGAGTTTGACTATTTGTTTATTTCCATTTGTGAGTTTGCGTCTCATTATTTTCATACTCTTATTTTCCTCAATGGTTTAGATGATTTTCTCATCTTTGTATTTTCTTAAGTCTTTTCTGATTTCTCTTGATACTTCCTTGTTCATTCTATTTATATCGTCGTTACTAGAGTTTTCGTCGCTTCTCAGTATTCTTCTTTGTTCCATTTTTTTCTGTGTTTCCAGACTAACTTTTTCTTCCTTCACGCTTTTTGGGCAGCACTTCTTTTGAGCTTCTGTTATTGCTTCTACTATTATGTCATTTAGAATGTTAATATCATTTGTTGATGATTTTTCTTGAAGGAATTTACCGATATGATCTTCAAAATTTTGTTCGTTGTTTGGATGTGTCCATCTGTTTATTTGCTTCTTTTTTTATCATATTGTGTCGTTCATAGTTGGTATTTAACACAATGGTGGCTCTCACCATACAATGGTCGCTTGATTTCGCAAATTTATTTAGCACTGTCACATCTGTAAATATGTATCTTTTATCAGTGATAAAGTAATCGATCTCGTTTGTCGTGTTCCCATCTGGGCTTTTCCACGTCCATCTGCGGTGATGTTTCTTGTAGTAGTAACTGTTCATTAGGAATAGGTTTTTCTCTAGTAGGAAGTTTAAAAGAGTGTCGCCACGGTCGTTCCGTCCCTGACTTCCAAAATTTCCAAGAGCAGTTTCTGCTGGATCCAGTTTTGTTTCTATTTTGGCGTTAAAGTCTCCACATATAACTGTGAAATGTGTGCGGTTGTTTGTGATGGCTGTACTTAAATCATCATAAAAGACTTCGATCTCCTCGTCTGTATATTCTGTTGTTGGAGCATAGACTTGGATAACTTTTAGATTATATCTAGTATTTATAGAAGGAGAGCATATCTGGATTCATTTCGCATAATATGTCCGACGAACTGTAACTTTAAAGATTTGATGGTGGTCAGTACCTCTCGGTTCTTATTAATTCTTTTGATGACCTCCTCATTTGTGACTCGGTCAGTCCAAGGGATCTTAAGCATTCTCCGATATAGCCACATCTCAAATGCTTCCAGTTTTCTCCACATATCTTCGTTCAAGGTCCACGATTCAACACCATAAAAAAGGACAGAGAAGACGTAGCACCGCAGCATTCTTACTGTTGTACCAAGAGAGAGGTTGTGACTCTTGCAGAAGGCCCCTTCCGATTGAACAAAGCCTCTCTAGTACCAATTGCATTTGTCAACCAGAACTGGTTGGGGGAAATTTGACTTTCACACAGCTTGTAGATTCTCTTATGAATTATATTTAGGAACAATTTTAGGAGATGACTCATGAGGCTTATAGTACGGTAATCTTCGCATTTTTGGCAACCGTTTTTTTTTTTTTGGAAGTGCAATATACTCAGATTTCAGGCATTCTGTTGGTATTTCTCCAGAGTTGTATAAGTTCAGTAAACTTCCTGCTGTAATATTCTTTTTCCATCATTTACCTCTTCTTCTAGATCATAGGTGTTATCCCTTTGGTCTTTAAATAGTTTTTCTAGATATTCTTTCCATGTTCTTATTTTACTCTGTTTGTCCTAGATGATGTTCCTGTCAGAATCAATTATATTTCCTTTCTGCCTTCGTCTTAGTCACCCTGTGAGTTCATTAACTTTAAATAACGTACTCGTAGGTCGTATGATTGTGCTTTCCTTTTCTGCACTGTTTTGAGTTTGACTCGAAATACTCCCACCAGTGGAACACGTTTTGTCTCCAAGTCTGCTCAAGGATAAGTCTTGACAGACGTAAAGCTGTTTCGGAATTTTTTATTTACTAAAATGTAGTTTATTTGATTCCTAATAATTCTCCCGGGTATGTCTTGAGAGGCTTTCCACGTGTACAGCTTGCGAGGTGGTAATGGAAGAATGTGTTGGTGACAACTAGTTCTGAGTATTCTGCGAATTTTGTAGTTAATTATCCCTTAAAACACACTAAACTTAGATTTATCCACATTACAATTTCCTGCCACAAGTTGGTCACCAAATATATAGGTATGAACTTAAGTTTTTCTCAGGGACTTTAGATTTTTTACAAGAAATTTAAAAACATGGATAAATATGTGTGTTTATTGATGATTATGACATGACTCTGTTAAAAACCAACTCCCTAATTGATAATGTTTGTATTTTTCAGTCTGTGTATCAGATAAGAAACATTTCTTGGATAATGATAAACATATTACCGCCAACCAGTTAAGTTGCAGATGGCTATTCCATCCCTGCATACCAATGTCATAGAGGGTATGGTTTATTACAATATATATATATATATATATATATATATATATATATATATATATATATATATATATAAAACAAAAGAACAAATATAATTACTCTTGACAAACATATATTTATCACAATTCATTTCAATTATTTCTGATATAGAGTTGAATGCTATCAAAGTTCAACTTTTTTACAAATAACACTGATTAAAAAATAATTATTTAATATTCTTAAAATTATATATATTAAAACTTACTTTACAGATTGTGTAAATTCTGCATCAGGTGGTATGTTAGGTAGATATAATACTAATAGGACTAGAATAACATTAAACAATATAGTTTTGCCTAAACAACTAACAAGTCCCATGATTACTGAAACAAAAACAAAATAATTAGTTATAATATAAGGAAGTACATTTAACATAATTGGTATTTTTATAAGGTTCCTTAGATATTTAATTTTTGCAGAAAACAAAAGGCTTACAAAAAAGTTAAAAACAAGAATACGAGAAGGATCATAATATATCAGGATGATGTATAATGAATATATTAATAATAATATTAATATATTCTTATTTTTAATACACCAAATAATATAAAACAAAATATAATTCGAAAATATAATTGTAACATTTGGTGAAATTTATGTTTACTTGAGTAAAAAAATTTAGGATATGGCCATATATATCTCATGTCCTATAGAACATCTTAAAGAGCCAGAATATAATATAATATAATATATATATATATATATATATATATATATATATATATATATATATATATACATTACAAACACAGTACTAGACTCTAGATAATGTCTCATTTCGCACATTGAAAAGAATACTGGAACTATACTATAAATTTATCACTGTTTAAGTATCGTATATCTAGTCGTATATGTAGCAAATATCTAGTCTCGCTAGGAAGCCTACAGTCCGCTATGAGACGTTAGTGTCGATATACATTTCAGCCACATTCCGTCGTAGTTTAACAAAATACTGACACTACTCTCATTAGTTACCAGACAGCTCAGAGATTTGTTACAGTTTGTGAAGAGAAAAGTGACACTATATGTTTAAATATGTTATGGAATCACATAAATTGGTAAGTTTTGATTACATGTTTTACATTACATATTTTGATTACAATGACATTTTTTTTATTGTAATTTTAGTTTTAGTTAATTTATGGATGCGTTTTTACATTAATTCCAATAACGTCGTCTATAGGTTAGTGTCATTATTATGTTAAAAATATTACGAAATTTTTAAAAAACGTTTTATTTAATTGGTTTGTCATTCGGAGGACAGTAGATCCTGTTAATATTTTTATTCATAACAATATTTTCAATGATTAGTTCTTACATGATTTGGTTATGTTTACATATTGAACTTATTGTTGCAGACTAACATGCCGTTGAATAAATCTCGTCTGCACAAAATTAAAAACCTCACTGAGAAATTGCTGGACGATAGATCTGATTATGAAGAAGAAGGTACAAAATGTAAACTTGAATGTTTAAATCAAGACGAAAGCAATTCAAATTTATTAAAAACTCAAAAGATCTCAGATCTAAATCAGTTTGAATCTTAAAGAATTAAAAAATAATGGTTATAACAACCATGATCACTTTTATGATAAAGTTACGAGTTACAGTGATACAATCTCCAAAGATAACCTATTGGAAAATATAAGTCCAAACAATCAGCATATTGATAATAGACGGTATTCCTCATCTTCACGAAAGCACCAACAATCTTCAAGAGATTTTTCACGAGTTTCTGATGCAGATCCGACATACTTAACGTCTTTGGGAAGTATTTCCAAATGTCAATGATCCAGCAGCTCCTCCTCGTCCTCATCAAGTGATACATCAACATCTACTTACTTTGAAGTAAATGGAAAGAAACAAAGAGTATGCAAAATATTTTCAAAAGATTCACTGAGTATCAATAACGACTGATAAGGACTGTATTGGAACATAAAAATTAATATGGTACAGTTATTACTGAACAAAGAGGAAAGCACAATAAACACTCACGTATTTCAGAACAATTGATAGTTGATATTAAATATCATATAAATAGGATACCCAGAGTAGAAAGTCACTACTTACATGAACGAACCTCAAAGAAATTTATAGATGGGGTAAAACGCTCGCGCTCTCTAATTTGTACCGGGATTACAGGAAAGAGTGCATTAATAAAAATGTTCAGTTTCTCAAAATACATAATTATAGGAACATTTTCAAGTCAGAATTTAATATAAGTTTCTTTGTACCCAAAAAAAGATCAGTGCAACCTATAAGAATACAGAATCAACAGATAAACAAAGTTTAGAAGAAACATATCAAATTCGTATAGAAAAAAATACTGATAAAAAAATGACAGAGAAGGGTTACATTGTTGTTATGATCTACAGGCGATTTTGCCGGTGCCAAGGGGTGAAGTTTCCTTCTTCTATTACAAAAGTAAGTTAAATTGTCTAAATTTTACTATTTGGAATTAAGCAAAGATCACACTGAGTGCTATTTTTGGAATGAAGTAGAAAGACAAAGAGCCGTCAACGAAATTGGTACCTGTGTTTTTAAATATTTAGAGAAGATGTCTCATGTAACTCCTGATACGAACTTCATATTTTATTCTGATAATTGCTGTCAGCAGAAAAATGTCCCCTATGACAGAGTAGTTTGTTAGACTATACTAGGGAGGACACATTGATCAAATACTTTTCTCTTCAGGCATGTGGGCAGCTCACTTTTAAAAGTTTCTCTCAGTTTTCCATATGCTGTTCACCCAAGATTGATTGTTCTCTTCAGTTCAAGGGTCTGATTATCCCTGCCAATCATAATATAAGGTATTTATATTTATCTATGAGTTCTACTTCTTGCCCAACAATACTAATGTCCTGGTTGTGAAACATTGAAAAGCATTATAGATTGTGCATAAAAAATGTATGTTTTTATATCTTTGCTGTTTGGTTTTTACCCATCAGGGTAACTTTCACCCCTCTCAGACCTTCCTCCTTTATAATATTGCTTGACAGTTGATGCAGCCTTAGCAGTGAACCAGAAAAAAAATTATATGTGACCTGATTCGTCACTTAAGGATCCTGGAGAAAACTCCATTGTAATAAATGATTGATCCAACCGATGGACACTTCAAACTATGAAAACTAAAATTTTATAGGAACTCCAAAGGTTCTACTATTTTGGTACAAAAGAATGGTGTTATATTGTAAATTAGAGGAAGAATTAAGTACATATTCAACCACAAAATTGGGACTAAAAAAAATGTTTGTATATAAAGGCAGTGCATTACAATTATTACAAAAGAAAAAGTTGATGTCTACAAAAACTGAATTTGTCAGGGAAAAAATGAACACTTTTGCTACTGCTACCAGAAAAATATCAATTAAAGATGTTCTTTATAGTCATAATGAAGTAAGTTATGACCTCAAGACCTTCAAAACTTAACAATCCTGTTCACATTCATGTTTATAAAGGTCAATGACCATTTAAAACTATAAAGGAGCAGGACTTTTGCCATACATTCCAATCCTAACAGAATTTACTTTTCACTTAACTAAATAAGACCTTAAAGTATGATCACTGTATCATAAAATAGTTAAAGTAAAATTTGTCATGTCATTTTAAAATATTAGAAATTGACCTTACCTCATTTTCTAATGTTCAAATAACAAGAATAATGCGATTAAACAGTTGTTACCTTCAAGATATGATACATTATAGTGCAAAACTTTTATTTAATCGATAGTTACCTTATATTTTCAAAATTAAAAAAAATAATAAGTTTTAGTTCATAAATTACAATGTAAATTACCGGCAAATAACGATTGAAATAATTTTATTTGAATAGACAAAATTCATATAAAAATTTAATCTCATACCTCTTAATCAGTCAAAATTCCATACACACTATATGCACTAACTACCACCCAAAAAGGATCTCCAAATTATTTTATTTGTGACCTGTGGACTTGTATACTGATTAGTTTTTTCAATGTTAATTAAATCAAAACGACAAAACGTACCGTAAAACCTACAACCTTGTACAACAGCTCATATAAATGTCATTGTTTGTTGACGTTTACATTTTTTCTAGTACTTCTGAAGTGACAGACCAGTGGACCAGTGGGCTCGACAGAATAAACAGAAACTGCCAGTGGTTTCAAAAGAATGAATTTTGATCAGTTAAGTGGTCTGTGGTAAGGAATGAACCTGATAATTTTGTATGCAAATATGTAAGAATTTATGTACTGTACAAGTCTTGGTTCTTTTTATTATCTAAGATTAAGATAAATATTTTCATGATATATAGAAAGAATATAGATATGCGTGTATTCGCTCCGTGGGTCTCCCCTCTATTTACAGTCACGTGACACGCTGTCAGATTTGTGAGGACGTTTTAGTCACAGAATAATAAACAATCAGAAAGGCCACTCGCAGATGCCGCCTTTGAAGTTTTTCAGCACGCGCGCCATGTTTTAGGAGGACACAGACATATGATTTGTATGGTTATGTAATTGTTTATATTCAATGACGTATAATATATAGACTACGCAGTCCCCTATTCTCGCTATAGAATCAAGTGTCCGAAAGATCTCGGCTCAAGGTTGAAGGTATGTTTATCACAACAGCGGCGTGCTCATTTATATGTTAATGACAATAATTATTTTTTTAATTAAAATTAAATATTTATGATTTCTTTTTGTTCCCGTCTATAAGAGAAATAATTATTTTGATAAAATAGTATGGCATTTTACTAAAATAGTAAGTAAATAACTCTCAACAATTTAAAATAAAATTTGCTTGTCACACAAAATGGAGAAAATGTTTTCATACGTCCATGATGTTTTCAAACACAAGATCAACTTCGTGATGCTTCGTAAGAAATCATGAACTTCGTGCATCTTCGTATCAAAACAATAAACAATAACAAAGGTATTCATGTTTTGGACACTTTTTAAAGCGTTCACCGAGTCTATATATTATACGTCATTGTTTTATATTTATGTTTAATTATATTATATTTATGTAATTATATTTAGCAATGTTAATATAATCGTATAGTATGTCTATGATTGCCGTAAGTCAAATAAACCTGGTTAATTTTTCCACGCACTACCCACATAAAACAACACTAATTTCTTTAAAATCCTCCTAAAACATGGCGGAACGTCTGCGCGGAGGAGATGCGCGTACTTAATTTTCCGTGGAGAGTGGGTATTCTGTTTGTTTATTATTCTGTGTTTTAGTCACATATAATTAAACATAAATATAAACAATTACATAACCACACAAATCATATGTCTGTGTCCTCCTAAAACATGGCGCGCGTGCTG